GATACGAAGTAAAAGATTTCATTCAACAACAGATTGACATGAAAATCCTATTTATGTTAAGAAAAACACCACAGAACTGGGGAGCACGAATTAGGGATGTAAGACACAAGCTGACAGTAAGCTGCTGGTTTTCAATGCATTTTAGTAGCCTGCAACCAGGAAGAACTATTTCCACCACTACCATCTTATGGCTGATTTGAGAGAAGTACAAAGCCAGAGTCTGAACTAACCAACCCACTCTAGAACAAATCCCTGTAAGACTGGCTCCAAAACTTCAGCGGAGGTGTGACAGGTATGGTCTATAATCCAATAATCTACTGCTTATGGTTCTAATAACCTTCTAAGCATTGCTTGTTGACCACATTTTTTCCCCTCTGCATTCTCTTTAATTCCAAAAAGCTCATCAGAAGGCAGAAGACATACTTTTTTTGGTTTGGTTTTGTTTTTTTTTTTCTCTTTGAGAAGTGCCCAGTTAAGTTTTCTTAACCCAAAAGAACCATAATTATGCTTTCTTTCCACAGTTGCTTGGCTCCCAGTCATCTTTCAACCATGAAGTTCTTAAAGAGCCTTAGTCAAAACATTCCGAGAGTCTCAGACTGTACAGGCTCAAAGAAGCCAGACCCAAGTAGACACCCCACTGCTTGCTAGCGTGGTGCCATAGTTCAGGCCAACAGGCTGTGAAGTCCCTGAGCAGCAAGTAACTAATGCAATAAGAAATAAGACTAATTCTTACCTGACTGACAATTGGAGAGATCCAGCAGTAGCAGTTTAAACTGGTTCTTTACGATAAAACCAAATATTTAGTAAAATTTTGAGTGTTTTATTTGTCAATAATACTTCTCCAAAGGTCAATCTCTCCACAATAGATACAAAGAAGGAAAAACATGTTTTGTTTTTCCACATTACACCATGCTTTGTAACTCCAAGAGAAACACATGCCTTGAATTCTTACTTTTCTACTTGCTACTAAGTATAAAGCCTGTGGTAGTGAAGAGCACACCCCACCAGTGTGACCAACTGATATCTGACAAAACCACAAGGTGTGCACAGTTCTACTTTCCATTCTCAGTACAATTAGAGCTCTGAACAGAAAACTTCTGTTCAGCTAAACCAATACCAAAAAACTCTTCCTCAAAGCTTAGACAAATCCCTTCTTTTGGAAAGGGGGGGGAGGGGGAATACCCCAGATAATTTTCTTTTCTCTTTACCTCCTCTCAAAAATAAAAATACTTGCAATTAACAGAAATAAAATTAAGCCACAAAGACTAAATAGACAAACACTTGCCTTGCTACTGGTCTGTTGTAACTCAAGGATTTAATCAGTGTTTCTATAGATTCTTTATTTGGGGGGTGTGTGTTGCATTATTTTTAATTACACACTGGATGTGAACGTTACAATGATATTTTAACTGCCAATGAACATTTATATGCATGTAAGCCTATCAAAGTTTTTTATTGAGGTTTGTTAAATTAACTAAAGCAGTTCTGATACTTTGGCCAGTGAACTCATGCTCCCTCTGCTGACTGATCACTTCATTGGAACCTCAACAGTATCAAGATGTCCTTACTTTTACATACTAACAATTATTTCCATTGTGGAAAAATGTCAGAGCTACAAACACTCAAGCAAGCTTACAGTGCCTACTCAAACTATTAAGTTTCACCACAGCTTGAACATTTATGCTCTGTGACCTGGAACCTGGCATCTTTTCATTTCAGCATTCAGCAGAAAGAATGCCAGACTCCAGCACAGCAACCAAAACATTAAGTCTTTCATCCATTTAAAAAAGGTTATTTAGAGTTTTGAAAGACACACACCCCCCCCAAACCTCCAAATACATTACAGAGGCCTGTGGAGAAAAACCAAAGTGACAGAGTTCAATTTCAATGCAAAGCTTATATTTTCAGGAAGAAAATAATGCTTTTTTCTAGTATTTACATCAGTGCTTAACCTCAGACGTTTTACTGAAGAATCAATGTCCATAGTACTGCACCTTGAGAGACAGATTTCATGTGACTATTCATGAAAATTGCTTCTCTGGGCTGCTGTGGAACTGAAGAAAACAAATAGGAAGCAGAACTATCTAACCCAAACCAAACAGACTGCCTGAAAAGATGCTTGTTCCATCATATTTTCAGTATTGCAGGACTTAACATCTAGATGGGTTATCAATTCTTCACACCATTGTGTGAGCAGGAACAGATCAATGCACTTAGTTTGCTTCTTTAAATGTTGTTGATTCTTCAAGTCACAAAATACTACTTTTATTAATGCTTATTAGCTGTGCTTGCAATTAGAGATGAAAATGTCTGTGATCCAGTTCCAATGGGTAGCACCATTGTTTTCCTTACAAGTACAGATAGATTGCCTTCACTGGCATACAAGAAGTTCCAGGGAACACATTAAATCCATGATTTGCATTAAAAAACCCACAACCAACAAAAAAAAAAAATCCAAAACAAAACAAACACCACTCCCACCCCCCCAACCTCCAACTAGTTTAATGTTATCCTTTTTCACTGTGGGATAGTCACAGTATTGCATGTTAAACTGAGAAAAACTAACATTAAATTAGAAATGCTACCCTTCTTACTGTCAAACGCATTCCCCAAAACAATCATCACCAATTTGCAGTTACATCCTACATACAACACACCCAGGAGTAACACTTGGATGACACACTGCCACACTGTGTCAAATTCAAAGAGGACCCACCACTGGGTGGTGAAAAGAGCAAAGCAGCTTATTTGTATTTTATGACCCTATATTAGCTGGTTTACTTTGGCAGCTGCTGGTTTGCTCGACAAAGGTTTTCTAGTTTATCTTCATAAAAAAAGTGGATAGCACTTCACATCAGCTCTAATGTGGTTCTAATATGGCCCCTTTGTTCCTGTAGCTACAGTTAAGTAATATCTCTATTAAGAGGTAGCCTAGAAGTCCATTCTTTTACTGCTTTATGTATAAATTTCAAGCAATGAAGCATGTAACTAATCAAACAAAAGGATCTGTAATAGCAAATGGGAACAGCCCACTTAAAGCCAAACGGGTTTAGGAATGCTGCTGAAGACCCCTCCCCTCCTCACCCACTTGCCTTGTAGGCAGACCTGACCCCCCTCCTGAGGTTAGCACAGGGCCTTACCTCCACCAGTTGCCATTTTCTGGCAGATGAAATTGCTGTCTCCACAGCATCAGCCTCAAAGATGAGGTCACACTTTAAAGTAAGTTGGACCCAAGCAACAAGGATTTCAGTAGCCTCTGGAACACCTTGCACATTACCTCAAGTCTTCCTGCAGTCCCTGTCACCAAGATCCAAATGTCAGATTTCTTGAGGCAACCCTGGCTTGTTGGTATCAAGGGGAACAGACCTACTTGTTTTATCCAAAAAACAGGGCTACCTGCCCCCAGGTTAAATTGCTGGATATACTCCAACATGTACCAGATAGAAAAAACACTTAAAATTAGTTTTGCAGAACAGTTGCTTGTGTGTGTGTGTTTTTTGTTTGGTTGGGTTTTTTTTTTTAACAGTACATGAAGTGATTGCAATTGCAGCACTGAATTACAGGTCAATCCTGAACAGTCAAAAGCATGAAGATTTTTTAAACAGTTTTAGTTGCCCTCTAATCAGTCTTCAAAACAGATTATTTAAATGTCTGAAAAAGCACTGAGAATTTATCTGGAGGAAAAGTATACAGAAAGCCCCAAATCAACAATTGCTACTGGTTTATGCCCCGAGATCTCATCTACTTAAGACCTTGAGAAAAAAATTAAGTACTTTTTCATCTGCTAAACTGCAGTGCTATAATGCTTTTGTTTTAATTGAAATTCAGGAAAAAAAAGCATTAGCTTCATCTGCTCTGCTGCATCCACATGAGTTCTACTTGGTAGGAACAGTGGTAAAGAAATCTATATTCCCAGGGTGCACATCCTCACAGGCAACAGGTACTGCATAAACAAAAACCAGAGTCACTGGAGAACACATGTAAAATTTAAGAAAATACCACTTATGGCGAGCTTGGATTGGCACTCTAGAAAGCACAATGCAAAAGAAAACCATTGTAAAACACACAAAAATATATGTTCAGAAATTAGAATGTACATTCATTAGAGAAAGACTTCTCTCAGAAAACCTAGCATCCACAGATATGAATAAGAGTAAAATAAAGACTAAACATATTTGATATCAGGACTGTTATTTCTCTTTTCCAAGTTAACTCTGAAGAGAAAGGTGCTCTCTTGCTATATTTACATTCAGATAAATTTTTGAACTTCTGGATCTCCTGAACTTCCTTTAAATTACAGTTGGCAGATTTGATGCACAGTACTTCATAGATCAATAGCTAATAAAAGGGTATATTCTTTAAGCAAGTTGAGCACTTAAATGCCCAATCCTAATACCTTTAATTCCTAAATAGGGAATTGAGAATTTCTTCATGTATGTTTGAGCTGTAAGTTGTCACACAAGTCCAGACACAAACTTAAGAGAATATGCATTCACATGTCAAAATAATTAAAGAAAACAGGATTTTGTTTTCTAGCTTAAAAAAAAAAAAAAAATTAGGAAAAAAGTGTCTGACAATCCCAGGGCTCTTTGAACAGCCTTCTTTACTGATGTCTTGACATATAAAAGGCAATTTGTTAAAGTATCTGACACTGTTACACCCAATGAAGATTTGGTAGTTTGTTTATTTAATTCAATTACAGTGCTTCAATAGGATGCTTCTCCCTTTCCACAGGAGCAGATCCTTTCTCACTACATGCAGCTACAGGAATTATTCATACTTCTATTAAATTGCACCAGTCTCAGTGAAATTTGTCTCATTTGTTCATTTGGAAAGTTTTACTAGTGGTTCCCATGGACTCAGAAGTGGGTCAACAATCTTTAGCAGAGTCACATTTCAGTGAACTTTTTATCAAAATATTTTTCTTCAGTGCATACAGACCTGGAAATCCAGGAAATTCCACCAAACTCACTTCTAGAAAGATATTTTCAAGGCTAGTAAGTCACAAAAAGATTTTGGAACTTCCAGACAATAACACTGGTAACATTTTGACTATCAGAGAAAACCACTAACGGTTTCAGTATCTAAGTTGGCTAGTAGTATAGAACAGCAGCAGTGTAAGTCTCTATTAATTGTTTCCATAGTAGTTTTCAATTGTTTCTGAATTGAAATACACCACAGTAACTGTGATATCATCTCTGTACATTCTCGCAAGGTCTTCAGGCAGCGTGAGCATCGCAGCAAGTTTCTCTTGGTCCACCTCCCCATACTCATTACTTCCAATTGCATGCCTTATTAAGTGAGTAGCTATGTTCTGGTCCAGGGATGCAATGCCTCTGTTTTTCCTTTGAAGTAACAGGCTGTGCATATAACCCAAATTAACTGGTTTCCCAAAAGCCAGTTGTGGTTTCTGCACATTAAGCTCTGAAAGGTGTCCAGCAACAAGTTTTACAACCTTCTCGTTACTTAGCATCTCCCACAGTCCATCTGAAGCAATAACTAGAAACTTGTCTTTGCTTCTTAATTTGTGGTACGTCACTTCAGGCTCTGCAGTTAAATAAGGGGGTGTATGGTAGTTTGGAGGAACGTACTGATAAATGTTTAAAGCTTCAACATCACAGCTATTCTCAAGAACACTGTGTTGCAACTCTTTACTCCATTTCAACTGCACATCTCCAAAAGCTCTGGAGGGCATGAGAATCCCCAGCAATCTGTCATTCACAAAGAGAGTCTTCTCCTCAGATCTTGGGTGTTCTCTCTTCAGTCTTCTGATTTCAAATTCATCAAAGGCATTGTGGTCTCGGGTTAGAGGGAGAGTAGACCACGTTCCATCTTCTTCATGAACCCCTAAAACTGCTCTGCAGTCACCAGTGTTTGCAACATGTAAGTGAACGCCGTCGACGTGAGCTACACAGGCTGTTGCACCAGAAAAAGCTACTTGAAGGGCAACATTTCTCATCAACTCATTTTCCTGGGGAGCCTGAACTTCCAGTGATATGTCAGAGTCTAACCTTTTGAATGCACTTATCATGGCTTCTTCTAAACTAAATCCGGGCTCAGTGTCTAGGTCCAGTAAATGCTGCCAGTATACCCGGAGGTTTTCAAAATATTGTGAGGCTATTTCTCGATACTCTATGTCATTTGGATGCTTGTGCCACTGCAGAATAGGCAGAACTGGTTTCATGCACTCCACAGCAAGCTCAATCTCTTCCAAGGTTTGCCGGGACATGAGAGAAACTGCGATATAATGAAGCAGCCTCTCGCTCACCGCCTGAGCGCAAGCGGAACCCGCGTGACCATCGAAGACTCCAAACATCATCCCTTTGGTCTGCAAGCAAGTGGCTGCACTTCTGCGGTCTTCAATAGGGGTGTTGGATGCCAACTGGTTACTTTCAAATCTCAACACAGAATTCATATTTTTACCATTTAAACCCAGTATTTTATGGGATAATTCACCTGCTCTGAGTATATCATTGATTTGGGACGGAGACAACTGGAAAGAGAAATGTTCTTCCTCAGTGGAAGTGTGTCGGAATGCTTTTTTTAAGGAGAAAGTATTGTCTGAGTTGCAGCTCCCAGCAGGACGGAGGAACGTTTTGGAGAAAACAAGCTTCCATTTTATCTTGTTTCTATTTGGGATATAGATGGAGTACAAACGTCCTTTTCCCCGTAAAACAATGCTGTTCCTTGCTGAGCTTAAGATCCAGGATGATACAGTTCTTGACATCATAAATCACTCCACAAAGAGGAACACCTTCCTTCAGTAACACAGAATATTGTTACAACCTGGAATATAAGAAAAGGAAAGGTATAAAATTTAAAAGGTTCAAAAGAAGCTTTCTATATAGCAATAGAAAAGCAAGTCTAAAGCCCCAAAAAAATATGGAACTTTTTTCCATAGAAGACCATTAGAGAGGCATCATAAAAAGTGACAAATTTCCATCACTTAATTATAATTTAAGGGTATAACTGCCCCAACCCAACTAACTCGTCAGAAAAGCTCATTTTTATTTTCCAGTCATGTTCTTCTTCATTGTACCAAAGCTAGGAAGAAGTTCCAACATTAAAGCAAATGCAATTGTAAACTCTAGAGAGAAAAGCTTCATCTAACAACACAGAACACAGAACTGACAAGTTAAAAAATAGCAACTTAAGTGACAACTAACATGTAACTTTAAAAAAACCTGCTGAAGTACAGCTCTATTAAAACACTAAAAAACAACAACAAAATACTCCAATCCTGCAGAAAAACTGAAAGATATGGGCAGTTAATGATTAATATGAACTGCCATGATCCTCATGTCCAGAACAAGCTAGTCTACCCTTCCAATTCTCTTCCAGCTTACAACCTTGACTGGGTTGGTTTGTTTGATTTGGTTAAGACCTTGAAAGTCTTAACCAACATTCAAGCAGGCAGGATTTTTGCACAGTTTAAGGCAGATTCTACCGCTCGTTAATTAATACGTTGATCACAACATCATGCATCTTGATGCAGTGAACGTCATAGCACAATTATATTGACAACTTTTACAGGTTTACAACTTCGCATGTTCACTTGGAGTGCAATTGGAACAAGAAGCTGTTAAGAGCTCTACTGCCAGCAGCACAAAAACCTAGGGCACCTGAACCACTCAAGTTCTTCACCTGCCACCGGGGAGGACCCTCACAGTCTCTTACTTTAAATAAGTTATTCAGGCTGTGGGAAATTCTTAACGACAACCAGGTGCTTACCCCACGACAGAATTTTGCCCCATGGATTTCAGAAGCTAACTGAATATTAGCACTGCGAGTACAATTACTCCCAAAAGATAATACTAGAAGTCAGCTAGATTTTTCAGTTTTCTGTGAGCTCTGAACCATTTTCAGGAGGCATGTAGCACCCTGTGCTCTTGGTCTCAGGCCAAAGATACTGCACACTACTGCAATGTTTGTTTTTTAACACAGCAAATAATGAGAAATAACAAGAAAGCCAGTCCAGCCAGCTACATGAAAATGTTTCTAAGACATCAGCAGGAGCTAAAAAGCAAACCTGAACTATTCTAAACAAAAGGCCTACTGATACAACCCAAGGACTTTACTAAAACCCCATATGGAAAACAAAAGCAAAGTACCAGAAAACATTTCGGAATTGTACCACTCTTGTTTAACAGTAGAAAAGAGTGGACATGCCTTTCCAGCATGGACCTCACCACAGTAATTCTGGGGACCCTATGGGGACCAGCAAAGGCACAGCAGTTTTACTGCTAATGTCAGGAGAGCAGATGGAAAAGGCAATGTCAGTTCATTGCTCGAGGCTCGCCTGCAGTCTCCTGGGACATTTGCATCTCCCAACACACCAGACACCTTCTGTTGTACTGCAGAGAGAACACAACCAAAATAAAGCTAACAGGAAGACAGCCAATACTGCTAACTCCAGCATCAGCTAAACCCAAAAAGCACCAACAGCGCAAGACAAGCCTTTATGTTTGCCAACCTTTCCCAGGCCATTTCCCATCCTGTTTTTTCTTCTTTCTCTTCCTGCCCTTCTGAGCCACATGAGACCAAAACAACTTTCATGTTCTTGACTCAAAGAGCCGACAGAAACAGCGTTCTAAACAAACTTACCCTGTTCACACCAGGTGACAGGCACAGCAAGGTGGCGTTTTTTCCCTAGCAGCAGAGTTGCCCAATAGCACTTAGAACCGCGCTTGCCTAAGGTCAGGTAGGGCCGCTCTGTTCCGCTCTGTCCCGGAGCGCGTTTCCGCGCCAGCCCCACTCAGCGCCCGCACCGACACGTTCCCTTC